AATCACTGCTAATGGAAAAGAAATGTAGCCAGTGTATCCGCAGAAGTATGTTTGCAACTTATAATTTAAATAAAAAAACAGTTGCATATAGCTAGATAAACTGAATATTATAATGGATGTAAATGCTATCAGATCCATAAATTATTCTAGGCTGATGAAGCTAACACAAAAGCCATATTTGCTGAATGTTTTTTTTTCTAATGCAGCTGGCAGATACTTAGACAGATGTCTTGGATGCCTTAAGGCAAACGCTGAACAGACGTTACTCACTTAACACTACCCAGGAGGGTGTAGCTTGCGGAGAAACTACTCCGCAACGTTCTAAGATCATGTTATACCGGGACCTACGGTTTAAAGTGGATTCCGACCACTACAGACATCCGCGGAACCGCCGGGACTCGTACCCGAAACCTGTGGTACCGAGCGCCAGAGCGCTAGCCACTCGGCCATCAGGCCCCCATATTTGCTAAATGTTACCAAAATAAAATTACAGTAGGAACAAAGTATTGAACTTAATCAGTTAATATGTTTAAATTAGATGATATTGAAATACACTAAAAAATATATAATTTTCACTGGGAATAAAGAATGTTAGGTATATTTCAAAACGACAAAAATCCTTTAATTACCTCAATTAACCATTTATTAAATTAAAGACCTCAAATGAAAACAATTTAGCAGATATCTATCTGAGTAAAATTTAATTATGAATATTAAAGACCAAAGAGCCTGAATGGCCGAGTGGCTAGCACTCTGGCGGTCGGTACCACAGGTTTTGGTCTCGAGTCCCGGCGGTGGCATGGATGTTTGTAGTGGTTCAGAATCCACTTTAAACCGTAGGTCCCGATCTAACATGATTGTAGAGCGCTGCGGGGCTTAGTTACTCCACGTCCGTAGTTTGGGTAGTGCTAAGGGAGTAACGTCGGTGCAGCGCTTGCCTTAAGGCATCAAAGACAATTGTCTAAGTGTTTTCCAGCTGCATTAGAACAAAAAAAATATTTTAGAACAGGATTATACAATTTTTTAGGCTACAGGCCATAAAAATAAGCTTTGCAAGTATGTAATGCGTGTTTACGTATTACAATAATTAAGTAGTTGTTTTAGTATTTGGTTCGATTTTTTTAATAATCTTCCTTCTCTTTTCTGCATTGGCTCAACAGCCTCATGGTGGGTTATATTATATATTATATTAGTTAATCAATATGGTATTAAAATTGACACAAATATTTATTCAAAAATATAAAAATTGGCGACAATACAAGACAAAAATACAAGATTTTACGGTGCATTAATTATCAAAAAACCATCAAAACTTTAAAAAAATAATAATAAATTCATTTTGTTTTAGTTGATTAAAAGGAACAAGTCTAAAAAAAACAATTAGAAGATTTATAATTAAATTTTTCATTAGTTTAGTGATAATTGGGAAAGAATTAAAAAATAAATGAAATTTAAAATGACTTAAGTATGCATTACTAAAACAAAATATAAAACTAAAAGTCATTCTTTTCCCCGAAGTCTAACAAAAATAAATTGAAAAGTAATCCACAATATAAAGGAGAGAAAAAAAAGTGAATGTTGCTTGCTAAAAAACAACTCATGTGATTGCTTTGAACGAGGGAAATTCTTTTATTAAAAAGTAACTCGTTAAAATATATGAGCAGTAATAATAAGAAATGTCCTGCTTTTTTATTTCATTCGTTTTATTTTTTTTTTCTTGAAATAAGACGAGGAAAACTTTCTTTTGTTGTCAAATTTCAAAACGCAAAAATAATAAACTTGCAAAAGAAAAAAAATTTTCTTTATATTTTAACTTTTTTTATTTTTATTTCAATTCATTTCTTGTTCGTTAAAATTAAAAAAAAGAAATTTGAGCCGTTAGCGAATAGCTGATTTATTTTGAACAAAGAATTAAAATCGTACAGAAATAAAATTGAAAAAAAAAATCAATAAAAAAACTTAATGCTTTCTTAATACTTTCTTTTAATATTTTCTGTTGAGAACTTTTATAGCTGATTCAATTTAAAAAACAGTATTTAAAATATTGTTTGTTATCCCATTTGGTCGAAAGCAACATCTTAGATAAAAACCATGAACAAGTGGTACTTAAGAAAGGACGTAAGAAAACGTTTAGTTTATAGTCTTCCATCGCCAGAGTAAATACATTTGGCGCCTCTTGGTGAATTAGTTGGCCTAGGGACTCTTTTCCGGAGAGAAAGTATCTTTCGAGCATCCTGCGCGTACCTGAATTTCGGGTTTTGGCTTAGATGTGAAATTCGTCCACGAATCTATAATTATATGTCTTTAAATGTCGCACATATTGTGTTTTATTAAAATAACTTTGAATCATGTTCTCTGTTATAATTATTCATCATAATTTGAAATTTGTAAAAAAATAATTGCCAAATTTTTTAAGTAAAAAGAGGGAAAACCCGTCATTTGGTCTTTTTCGAGCATTTCTATTTAAGACATAATATTTTTTTGTTAATTTGATGCATATTTTATAAAGTAAAATATATGGCATTCAAATATCGTCCGAGTAAGTCCGAGTTTGAACAACTTTTATTACTCCAGCAGTGTTCTATTCTCAGTTCTTGTCTAATTTACTTTCTTTCCATTTCATTACCGGTTCTCGTTAGATCACCGAAGTTAAGCATCATTGGGCGCGGTCAGTACTTGGGTGGGTGACCACCTGGGAACACTGCGTGCCGTTGGCAACTTTGGGACCTGAATGGCCGAGTGTCTAGCGCTCTGGCGCTCGGTGTCACAGGTTTCGGGTTCGAATCCCGGCGGTGCCATGGATGTTTGTAGTGGTTCGGAATCCACTTTAAGCCGTAGGTCCCGGTCTTCTATGACTGTAAGAGCGTCACGGAGCAAAAGTCAGGCTTCTACCTACGGGGTGCTCCATCACAACAGAAGCTGCTTCCTTCCCCTTCAATCATGAGTCCATATGGGCTCGTGGGCTTGGCCAGCCAAGTGGGATAAGAAACAACAACAACAACAAATATCGTAAAAGCAACAAGAAGTCTATGGCCGATTGATGAGTGAAAAAGAATATTACTGAAACATCTTTAAATAGAACACTTTTTCAATAGCGCATGGCATAGCAATAAATGCATCTTAAATTATGAATGGAAAAATAGTCAGCAACAGTTCGAAACATCGGCACTTAAAATTGACCATTAAAATAATTATTTTAAATAATACCAATTAGCCAATATTTTGAAATATTCAAAAAAACATTATTCGGAAAAAAAAACTCCGTTTATTATTTAAGTTAACTTCTTATTAAAAACTAATCCTTCACAAAACACGTGTTTTGAAACTGAAAATTTTAGTTAATCAATATGTTATTTTAAAAGAGCGCAAATATTTATTCAAAAATATAAAAATTGGCAAAATTCTTGGAAAAAAAATACAAAATTTTACGGTGCATTAATTATCAAAAATCCATCAAAACATAATAGAAATAAATTCATTTTTTAGATGAAAAAAAAAGTACTAAGTCTAAAAAAGAACAATTAGAAGGTTTACAATTAAATTTTTCATTAATTTAGCGATAATTGGGAAAGAATTGAAAAAAGTAATGAAAATTAAAATGGCTTAAAGAGATTTAGGTAACAAAATATAAAACTAAAAGGCATTCTTTTTCTCCAAGTTTAACAAAGATAAATTGAAAAGTAATCCACTACATAAAGGAGAAAAAAAGAAGTGAATGTTGCTTGCTAAAAAACAACTAATGTGATTGCTCAGAACGAGAGAAATTCTTTTATTAAAAAGTAACTCGTTAAAATATATGAGCAGTAATAATAAGAAGTGTGCTGTTTTTTTATTTCATTCGTTTTATTTTTTTCTCTTGAAATAAGGCGAGGAAAAATTTTCTTTTGTTGTCAAATTTCAAAACGCAAAAATAATAAACTTGAATAAAAAAAAATCTTTTCTTTATATTTTAACTTTTTTTTAATTTTATTTCAATTCATTTCTTGATCGTTAAAATTAAAAAAAAAGAAATTTGAGAAGTTAGCGAATGGCTGGTATATTTTGAACAAAGAATCAAAAATCGTACGGAAATAAACCAAGGACAAAAATCAATAAAAAAACTTAATGCTTTCTGAATACTTTTTTTAATACTTCCTGTTTTTCACTCGAGAACTTTTATAGCTGATTTAATTTAAAAATAGTATTTAAAACGTTTGTTGTTTCTTATCCCATTTGGTCGACGGTCAAGTTCTCTGTTTTAATCAATCAAAATCTATCTGAAATTTTTACAAGTCTATGGTCGAACAGAAGACAGGATCAAAATGTATTTTAATAAAGCACATTATGTACGACATTTAAAGTCATATAATTACAGATTTGTGAAAGGATTTCACTTCTAAGCCGAAACTGGAAATTCAGGAACGCGCAGGATGCGCGAAAGATATTCCTCTCCGGGTAAGAGTCTGTAGGCCAATTAATTTACCAAATGCCAGATATTTACTCTCGCGATGGTAGACTATAAACAAAAACGTTTTCTTCCGTCCTTCCTTCTGTACCAGTTATTCATGGTTTTGGTCTAAGATATTGCCGTCAACCAAATGGTATAAGAAACAACAAATATTTTAAATACCATTTTTTAATTGAATCAGCTATAAAAGTTGTCGGGAAAAACAGAAAGTATTAAGAAACTATTAAGTTTTTTTTTTATTGATTTTTATTTTTGTACGATTTTTGATTCTTTGTTCAAAATATATCAGCTATTCGCTAACTTCTCAAATTTCTTTTTTTAATTTTAACGATCAAAAAATGAAATAAAATAAAAATAAAAAAACAATTAAAATATAAGGAAAAGATTTTTTTTATTCAAGTTTATTATTTTTGCGTTTTGAAATTTGACAACAAAAGAAAGTTTTCCTTGTCTTATTTCAAGAGAAAAAAAATAAAACGAATGAAATAAAAAAAAGCAGCACATTTCTTATTATTACTGCTCATATATTTTAACGAGTTACTTTTTAACGGCCAACGGCCGTACCATGCTGAATATACCGGTTCTCGTTAGATCACCGAAGTTAAGCAAAACTTGGGTGGGTGACCACCTGGGAACACTGCGTGCCGTTGGCAAATTTGGGACCTGAATAGTGTCTAGCGCTCTGGCGCTCGGTACTGCGGTGCCATGGATGTTTGTAGTGGTTCGGAATTTTAACGTAGGTCCCGGTCTCCTATGACTGTAAGAGCGTTACTTTTTACGGGTGCTCCATCACAAAGAAGCTGCTTCCTTCCCCTTCAATCTTGTTCGTGGGCTTGGCCAGCCAAGTAGGATAAGAAACAACAACAAACTTTTTAATAAAAGAATTTCTCACGTTCAGAGCAATCGGCATGAGTTGTTTTTTAGCAAGCAACATTCACTTTTGTTCCCCTTTATATAGTGGATTACTTTTCAATTTATCTTTGTTAAAATTCGAGAAAAAGAATGACTTTTAGTTTTATATTTTGTTTTATTAATACGTACCTAAATCTCTTTAAGTCATTTTAATTTTCATTATTTTTTAATTCTTTCCCAATTATCGCTAAACTAATGAAAAATTTAATTATAAACCTTCTAATTGTTCTTTTTTAGACTTCGTACTTTTTTTAACTAAAAAAATGAATTTATTTCTTTTTTATGTTTCGATGGCTTTTTGATAATTAATGCACCGTAAATTCTTGTATTTTTTTTTCTAAGATTGTCGCCAATTTTTATATGTTTGAAAAACTATTTGCACTATTTTAATACCATATTGATTTATTAATATTTCCATTTGAAAAACACATGTTTTGTGAAGAATTAGGTTTAATAAGAAGCTAACTTAAATAATAAAAGTTTTTTTTTTCCGATTAAATTTTTTTTTTTGTTGAATATTTCAAAATATTGACTAATTAGTATTATTTGAAAAATTATTTTAATGCTCAATTTTAAGTGCCCATTTTTCAAACTGTTGTTGATTATTTTTCCAGTCATTGTTTAACATGCATTTTTTTTCTGTTATTTGCTCTTTAAAAAATGTTCTATTTAAAAATATTTCAGTTATATTCTTTTTTCATTCTCAAATGTACGGCAAGAGACTTCATGTTTGCTTTTCAGTTATTTAAATGCCCTATTTTTTACGAAAAAAATATACATAAAATGAACAAAAAAAATTATGTCTAAAATAGCAATGTACGAAAAAGAACTGGTTGAGGTTTTTTTTCTCCTTTTTATTTTAAAAATTTGGCAATTATATTTTTAAAAATTTTTGGATTTTGATGAATAGTTAAAACAGGGAACATCCAAATTTATTTCAATAAAGCACAATACGTACGACATTTAAAGATTAATTATTCGGGGAAGTATTTCGCTTTTAAGCCGGAACCCGAAACTCAGGTACACTCAGGATGCACGTGAGATACTTCCTTTCCGGGTAAGAGTCTGTAGGCCAACTAATTTGCCAGGAGGCGCCAAATATAATTACTCTCGAGATAGGAGACTATGAACTGAACGTTTTCTTCCGTCCCTTCTTAAGGACCACTGGTCAGATGTTGGTCTAACATGTTGCCGTCGACCGAATGAGATTAAAAACAACAAGCAGCATTTTAAATATTATTTTTTAATTGAATCAGCTATAAAAGTTATCGAGTGAAAAGCAGGAAGTATTAAAAAAAACTTGTTAAGAAAGCATTAAGTTTTTTATTGATTTCTTTTCCCTTTTATTTCTCTACGATTTTCGATTCTTTTTCAAAATAAATCAGCTATTCGCTAACTTCTCAAATGTCTTTTTTTAATTTTAACGAACAAGAAATGAATTGAAATAAAATTTAAAAAAAGTTAAAATATAAAGAAAATTTTTTTTTCTTTTCCAAGTTTATTATTTTTGCGTTTTGAAATTTGACAACAGAGGAAAGTTTTCCTCGTCTTATTAAAAAAAAAAAAAAAAAAAAAAGGAATAAAATGAAAAGCAGCTCATTTCTCATTATTACTGCTCATATATTTTAACGAGTTACTTTTTAATAAAAGAATTTCTCTTGTTCAGAGCAATCGCATTAGTTGTTTTTTAGCAAGCAACATTTACTTATTTTTTTCCCCTTTATGTAGTGGATTACTTTTCAATTTACCTTTGTTAAACTTGGAGAAAAAGCACGATGTATTTTCTGTAGATTTTATTTTATTAATACGTATCTAAATCTCTTTAAGTCATTTTAATTTTCATTATTTTTTAACTCTCTCCCATTTATCATTAAACTAATGAAAAATTTAATTATAAACTTTCTAATTGTTCTTTTTGTAGACTTCGTAATTTTTTTCATCTAAAAAAATGTATTTATTTTTTATGTTTTGATGGCTTTTTGATAATTAATGCAGCGTAAAATCTTGTCTTTTTTTTTTTCTAAAATTGTCGCCCATTTTTATATTTTTGAATAAATATTTGCGCTGTTTTAATGATATTGATTTACTATAATTTCCTGTTCAAAAAACGCAAGTTTTGTAAAGAATTAGTTTTTAGTATGAAGCTAATTCAAATAATAAATGAAGTTTTTTTTTTTACAGACTAAATTTTTTCGTTGAATATTTCAAAATATTTGCTAATGGGTATTATTTAAAAAAATTATTTCAATGTTCAATTTTAAGTGCTCATTTTTTAACTTTTGTTGAACTATTTTCAAATTATAGGTTAAGATGAATTTATTACTATACCATATGTGCTTTAAAATAATGATGTTATATTTAAAAATATTTCAATAATTTTCTTTTTCAATCTGAAATACGGCCATTGAGTTCTGGTTGCTTTTCGGATATTTGAATGCCGTATTTTTTACTTATAATGTGCCAATTATGTTTTTAAAAAATTCAGATTTTGATGAATAATTATAACAGAAAACATGATCCAAATTTATTTTAATAAAACACAACATGTACGACGTTTAAATTCATATAATTATAGATTCGGGGAAGGATTTCATTTCTAAGCCAAAACTCGTAACTCAGGTACACGCAGGATGCTCCAAACATACTTCCTCTCCGGGTAAGAGTCTGTAGGCCAATTAATACGCTACGAGGCGTCAAAATATATTTATTTTTGGGATTGGAGGCTATAAACTAAACGTTTATTTCTAAATTAAGAACCACGAATTCATGATTTTGGTATAAGATGTTGCCGTCGACCAAATGGGATAAGAAACAACAAACAACATTTGAAATGCTATTTATTAATTGAATCAGTTATAAAAGTTCTCGAGGAAAAACAGGAAGTATTAAGAAAGCAATAAGTTTTTTATTGATTTTTATTCTTTTTATTTCTGTACAATTTTCGATTATTTGTTGAAAGTATATCAGCTATTCGCTAACATCTCAAATTTTTTTTTTTTAATTTTAACGAACAATAAATGAAATGAAAAGAAGTTAAAATATAAAGAAAAGATTTTTTTTTATTCAAGTTTATTATTTTTGCGTTTTGAAATTTGACAATAAAAGAAAGTTTTGATCGTCTTATTTCAAGAGAAAAAAAAGAAAACAAATAAAATAAAAAAACAGCTCAGTTCTTATTACTGCTCATATATTTTAACGAGTCACTTTTTAATAAAAGAATTTTCCTTGTTCAAAGCAATCCATTAGTTTTTTTAGCAAGCAACATTCACTTTTTTTTTCTCCTTTATATAGTGGATTACTTTTCAATTTATCTTTGTTAAACTTCGAGAAAAAAAACGAGGTCTTTCGGTATATTTTGTTTTATTAATATATACCTAAATCTCTTTAAGTTATTTTAATTTTCCTTATTTTTTAATTCTTTCCCAATTATCACTAAACTAATGAAAAATTTAATTATAAACCATCTTAATTGTTCTTGTTTAGACTTGGTCACTTTTCTCATCTAAAAAATGATTTTTTTTTTTTTTATTTCTTTTATGTTTTGATGGCTTTTTGATAATTAATGCACCGTAAAATCCTGTATTCGTTTTCTAAGATTGTCACCAATTTTTAAAATTTTGATGAAATATTTACACTATTTTAATACCATATTGATTTGCTATTATTTCCAGTTAAAAAAACACATGTTTTGCGAAGAATTAGTTTTATTACGAAGCTAATTCAAATAAATGAAATTTTTTTATTGAATATTTCAAAATATTGGCTAATTGGTATTATTTAAAAAAATTATTTTAATCGTCAATTTTTAATCTCCATTTTTTTAAACTGTTATTGACTAATTTTTACTGAGACGTATAACTGTAATTGACTGATTTTTTTATTTTTTATTTTTTTATGTTTGATGGCTTTTTGGTAATTAATGCACCGTAAAATCCTGTATTCGTTTTCTAAGATTGTCACCAATTTTTATAATTTTGATTAAATATTTACGCTATTTTAATACCATATTGATTTGCTATTATTCCCAGTTGAAAAAACACATGTTTTGTGAAGAATTAGTATTATTATGAAGCTAATTCAAATAATAAGCGAAGTTTTATTTTTTTGACTATTTTTTTGTTGAGTATTTCAAAATATTGGCCAATTGGTATTATTTAAAAAATTATTTTATTGTTCATTTTTCAAACTGTTGTTGGCTAATTTTCCAATCATAGTTTAAGATCCATTTATTATTATGTCATGTTCTTCTTCGCCATTGGCGCAACATCCCCATGGAGAGCCAATGAATTGTGCGTTGTAGATATACAACACCCATTGATGGACAGATAGAAAAAAAACCTTTTTAACAAAAATGATCCATGCATGATCAATTAATATATCCTCATTATCATCATCAGCCGCATGGTGGCCAAGGCAAATCTACTGGCAGATTTCGAGACAGGATATGTTTTCTTTTTACGGAGTAGGATTATCAGCCCTATGCACAACAGTCATATTAGATTTTGACCTACGTTTTAAAGTGGATTCCAAACCACTACAAACATCTATGACACCACCTGGACTCCAACCCTATGGCACCAGGCGCCAGAACGCTAGTCACTCTGTCATCAGGCTCCAATATGCCATGCACTATTTAAAAAATGTTCTGTTTGAAAAAGAAAATCACTGAAATATTTTTAATCTCTAATACTTCATTTTGCTTTTCAAATATTATGCCATATTGTTGCGTTTTGAATA